TCTTTATTTGTCAACTAGAGGAAAAGTATTTTCTCTAGAGTGAAATTTTATTAAGAACACCTGGCACTTAGTAGCTACTAAATTAATGAACATCTCACAACATTACCTCAGGGAATTGTCTGCTTCAGAACTTATTTGCTGACTTCCAGTGGACCTGCTTTTCCCCTGTATAAGTTCAGTTGGATGTACATTATGAAGTACACTCTTTCCCTGCTTCAAAACACACAACTTCTGAAGCATATTTTTGTCACTTATGCCATCTCATTTTGGTGGGTTATAGTACTGATCACCTCATTCATGCAGGGTTCTCTTGCTTTTTTCAGGTCTGCTAATTTCATTGCATGCTCATGCTTACATCTTCCTTCAAAATGTGCACTTTGGTTACAGAATCCAATTTTTTTTGTTAGTAGCCAAATTTTAAGCAGTCAGTTTGGACTGATTCTTGTCCCTGATAATGTGTAACCCCTGTTTATGCATGTCTTGGATTGTTGATCATGTTTTACCTATGCATATTTCTGTAGCACTCACGGAGTACAGATTGTCGTATTGGATCAGTCCTATGGTCCACCTGGTATGTTGTCCATCATGCAACTGTAGCCAGCAACAGATGTCCCTGAGGAATTATTTGGCTTCCCTGAAGTATCATTTGCCTAAGTTGTTCTGTTAGTCTTTGATAGCAATTCTCTCCCGGGTTTTCTAGTTATACTTAAATATTTTTTGTTTGTTTTCATATCTTAGGCTGTTTGCTCTTTAGATTCCCTTTTTAGCTTTTAATCTTTTCCATCTTCCATTTTACCTAACGTAGTTTGTGCGCCTATTTGATAGCCTCAGTAGGGTGAGATTTCCATTTACATATAATTGTGCAATAAATTGCAGAACAGTCTCCTCCTGAGGTTTCTCTACTGGAAGTTAGTTGAAATTTGAAAATGACTTGTTTTTTTCCAATTTGACCTCACTCTAAGTGCGGGCACCCTGATGTGATAGCTTCTGATACCACCTCAGAGCCCACCATTCTGTAACAAAATGCAAATGGTTTTATGTTATGTTTTTTTCAGAAATTGATTTTTTTTTCAAATGTTTTGTAACATTCACAAGTAGGCTTACAGACAATTTAACATAAATGAACCAGGTCACTCACTGAAAAATCAATAAGAGTTTATAAGCAAACCTCTTGGTAATTTTAAAAAACTAGATCGCACCATGTGTTTATATGATGTAAGGGATAAATGCTGAACCACATGGTATTGATGGAAAAAAGGGCAGAATTGTTATTCTTTTGATAAACTGTCATTCTTGCTAACCTATGGCACAAGGAAAAGATAGGACAAAAGCTGGAATTTCTTCGTTGGAATTTGTAAATAAGTGGATGCTGGCTTAGGTTCCAAAGAAATGTTTAGTTTGCAAAATTAACTAAGTACTAAAATCAAAGTATTTAATGCTCATAAAGCTGTAAGCTAACAATCTGAATGAAAATATTTTAGAACAGCCTCTTTGGTATCTTAATTTGACCTGAGACCAGTTTCTTCTTAATATAGTCCAAGTGTGCCTGGGGGGACTTGCAGTTAATTATTCACTTCTCTCTCCTACAGTTTAAGGAAAAGTTCAAAAACCTTTTCTCATTACATTTAGGCAACTATTGGAAGAAACGCATTGTTCAACATTAACCCTAATTTGTACTTATTAAAAATAAAAAGTCAGTATGAGAGAAGAAACAGAACTTGTTCCTTTGAAAATCTAAACAGCAAAAATCTTTCTTACTAATATGAGGATGAGTTACTAATACTAATACTTATAACATGAGTTAGCAAGATAATGATTGCACTATTTAAAAAAAAAAGTTGCAATGAATCATGATTTTAATCACACAGCTAAAAACTCAAAATTATGCAGGTACTTTCTATGGTTGGGTGGAGTGCAAGTGTGGGGGAGAATTTGTGAGGCTGTGGGGGACTGTGGGTGTGTGGGGGGGGGGTTGGAGCCCAGGGAGGGAGGCGG